TCAGCAAGCGAGTCGGGCGGGGGCGCGGGCACAGGCGCAAGCGTCGGCGAAGCAAGCGCTGGTGCACACACAGTCTCGCCTGCCGAGCACCAGGCGCTGGCACAGGCACATGCGGCGGCGCTGGGCAAGATTGCAGAGCTGGAGGATGCCAAGGCGGAGGCAGCGCTGCGAATCGCGGCGGTGCAGGCGCAGCTGAAAGAGGCCGAGGCGCGCGGAGGCTCTGATGCTAGTGCGGATGGCGCCGAGGTGACTCGAGCTGCGCGCGAGCTGCAGCAAAGCAAGGCGCGGGTGACTGCGCTGGAGGACCAGCTGGCGGTGGCGCAGTCGGAGGCCGAGGCAGCGCAGCTCTCGCTCTCTGCCGTAGAGGACCAGACGGCGCGGCTGGAGAGCGAGCTGGCGGAGGTCAAGACGGTGGCGGCGGAGCGCTTGGAGCTGATCAACAAGCTCCAGGCCGAGAAGGAGGCGGCACAGGCGCGGATCGTGGAGCTCACTGCGGAGCGCGACGCGGCTCTCGACGAGGCGGCGACCGAGGCGGCGGCGGCCAAAAAGGCCAAAAAGTCGGCCAAGAAAGCAGCCGATGCTGCGGCCAAGGCTGCTGAGCACGCGGCGATGCTCGCGGAGCTCCAGGCTGCAGAGCATGACCTGGAGGATCTCGCTGCGGCCGAGGCACCCGCGGCGGCGGCAGGCGAGGCACCTGTTGCGCCGTCGCCGCACACCACGGCCGACGACCTCGACGTCCTCCGCAACTCATTCGAGTCGCGCGAGGTCCAGGCCCGGCGCTCGCGTGTCAAGTCTGTCGCTGACTCGTGCACCGAAGGCATCCGGCGGCTCTGCTCATCGCTGCACCTCTCGGCGGCGGAAATCAAGTCGCAGCTCACCTTTGTCGTCGACGCCATCAAGATGCTACAGTCGGATACTGGGCTCTCGTTTGAGGCCGACACCATTGCCTTCGTGCAGGCGACCAAGCTCGTGCTTATGTCGCCGGGCAACGCCGGCGCCGCCAATCGGACCGGCCAGGCCGGTGAGGCGCTCATTACCAGCGTGACGTCGGGCATTGCAAGCTGGGCGTAGTGTTATGACAGCGGGCAGTTAAAAGTCAGAGTCCTCGTCGTCGCTGCCGATAGATGAGCCGCCGGACGACGACGAGTCGTCGCCGCCGGCAAACGAGCCGCGTACTTGAGCGGCAGGGTGCGAGGGCGAGCCCGTCGGATGGTCGTCGCTGAGCTCAGCGTCATCCCCGAGTATGCGGGCTTCTTCCTCGCGGTGGAGCTTGGTGCGGAGGGCCTCGAGCGACTTGGCGGCCTCGTCAAACTGCGCGGCGTCCTTGAGCTGGTAGCTGTCGAGCTCCTGCTCGAGATATGAGAGGTTGCGGAAGCGCTCGAGGTACAACTCGTAGCGGTGGCGGAGCTCGTTTCAAGCTGCTCGTACTCGTCCATGTACGCCGGGCGCTGGCCCTTGAGGTCGTCCATGCGCTGGCCCTTGCGGGCGAGCTCATCCTCCTTCTTGGAGATCTTCTTGCGCAGGTGCTCCTCGTCGGATGAGAGTGACTTGAAGCGCTCGAGAATGGCGTCTGTCTTTTGCTTGGCGGCAGCGGCGGCGGCGCGGATGGACTTGGCGAGCGCGTCCATGTCGAGGTTGCGCTCGATGGCCGATGTGCGCGACGAGCGGAGCGCTTCCTCACGCTCCAGCAGGTCGAAAAGCTCGGCCGAGAGCTTGGTGAGCTCCGAGGCGAGTGCCCTAGTCTTGCGCACGTCATCGGCCATACCTTGCGGGAGCGGGGGAGGACGATGGCGGCGAGCGCGTCGCCACCGGCCTTGGCCACCACCTTGGACGCCTTGTACAGCAGCGACGCCAGCTTGAGCAGCTCCTTGACCGCGTAGCCGTCGGCCATCAACAGCTTGCGCGGGTTGAGCTTGATCCGCGCCTGCTTGTACATGAACGAGACAACGGCGGTGAGAAACAGCTCGCGGTCGCTCTCGGTCTCGATGTCTGTCGGAATCTGTGCGTGCGCGTCGTACCTCCGCACCAGCCACACCAGCACGTCCGACACCAGAATAAAGTTGGGGTAGCGGAAGGCCTCCAGTGAGATAGCCTCGGGATACCCGAGCGCGCGCATCATTTCTGTAAAGTCTGTCGTCTCCGCTCCGCAAACGCCCACGTGTGTCCATGCATGTCGGTGGTGGTGGTGGTGGTGGTGAGTCCCGTTGGGCGCCAAAACCATGCCATGCCCTGCCATGCCAAACCCCCCTTACCGCACCCATGGCATGGCATGGCATGGCACTTGCCCCCCCCCTGCGCATGTACGTACCTCGAACATTGCGGTATGACATGTCTGTCCCCTGACCTATCTGCACCAGCCGAGATAAGTAGCCACCTTCACCTTCACTATCACCGCCACGCCACCGCTCCACTGTCTGCAGAACAGGCAGTGCCATCACCACCAGCCAGCCACCCGACCGATCACCACCACCACCACCACCACCACCACCACCACCACCATCACCACGGGACCGATCACCCGATCCATACCCCTACCCCTCCCTCCCTCATCCCCTCCCGTCACATCCCCATTCCCACTCCTCTCTCTCTCTATCTCTCTCCTCCCCCACCC